TTTTCTCTGTATCTATGAAGCGCCTTGAGGCGACATTTGTTGTGATTTGGCGCTATATAAATAAAATTGAATTGAATTGAATTATGCTTGACATTTAAAATGATCTACAAACAAGATCATTAGTGAAATGTACATCACTTTTTCCATCAAAACAAATCTGTAATAATATTATATTTGACAAATTTCATGAAGGTGCAGGTTGACACTCTAACCACAGGATGGCAGTAAAACGCGTAATCTAAATTAGAAACAAGCGAATCATGGAAGGACTTTGATTAAATCTGCTAAAATACAATTACAGTGTTTTCATATGAGCTGATGAGAAGTTTAAAAGAAATAATCTGTATCATTTACACTGAGGAATATGGAATTATAGACTGTAAGAAAAAAATAGAAAATGATCATCCAGTCCTTCCTTTTGTAATACGTTTTAACAACAACTTCCGTCATCCTGCCGGAAGTGACAAAATAAAGTAAATAGAAGCTGTCTTTAGGTCGAGAAGTTGAGATAATTGCGAATAAAAAGGGCGATTCAACAAAAAATATTTTGATTTTATGCACACTGAATAATATCTTTATGACGACTCTGTGCGACGTCTAAGAAAGGTAAATTGTTAATGGCCTGCTGACGTTTCAGGGGACAACATTAGCTAAATGCACCTGCTATTAGCCTACAGGCTAGCAGCTAATAATCCAACTTCCTTACTGACCTCGGTCACTGTAATGAAATCTAACAGTGACTGGTTTGTGTGTGCATGCAGATATATTAAGTGCAACAGCTACATTAATTAAAACGTATTTAAATGGTTGTTGTTAGGATGTTAGCATGCACTGCGGGTTACCAGCTGTTTGCTCTGCTCCAGCGTTTCCTCACTGACTCCACAGCGATTAAATTTGCCGCATCAGGAAAGCAAAGCTGCCAATTTTGGTGATTGTCGATAGTCCATCTGACTATAAACCACTTTTAAATTCACCGGTAGCTCAAACTCTTAAACGTGTTCTGATTGTCACTCTTTTAATGAGCGTTTCTTGGGTTTCTGATCACTAGAGCCAGTTAAAACCTTTGATTTCTGTTTTATTGTACCCTCTCGCAGGTTTCACAGGGACAGGAGTGACGCTGTCCTGCAATGTTCACAGATATGGACTATGAATTGGAGGAGGACAAACTGTGAGTCATTAATGAGCTTTCTCTACCCATTCCGAATCACATATAATTGCCATACATCATTAAACATCTAAAACAGTAACTGATAGGGTGAATGCCTTGATATAAACTGTGATATAGTTCCCTGATTACAGAATGTCCCAGAATAAGCTGAACAAAATGCTTCAAAGCTCAATGAGTGTGTTTTTTTTCTCTGTCTTAACAGGGGGATACCAACAGTGCCTGGGACTGTGACTCTGAAGAAAGATGCTAATAATCTTATAGGCATCAGCATTGGTGGTGGGGCTCAGTACTGCCCTTGCCTCTACATTGTTCAGGTGCACACAGAATAATTTATTATGACTTTATTTATTAACATTTCATCGATCACCAGATGTTTCTATCATGCTTTAAATGTTATAAGACTGTATCTGTCTCAGTTTGCTGTTGTTTAGCATATGGGTCATTAAAGGCAGCTTATCGCCTCTTATTCAGGAAAAATAACTGTACTTTGTCACGGTACTTTTTAAAATGCGGTTGCTGCTGCTTTGCAGGTGTTTGATAACACACCGGCAGCTTTGGATGGGACGCTGGCAGCAGGTGATGAAATCACAGGTGTGAACGGGAAAGCAGTCAAGGGCAAAACTAAGGTGGAGGTGGCCAAGATGATTCAAGCTGTGCAGGTACACCGACTCTGAAAGTGGGAGGTTATTAAAAACTCAGCATTACTCTATTGACCATAACTGCTATTTAACACTGAATATTACCAGTGTGACAAAAATGCACACAGTTTAGAATAATAATACAGTCATTTGTGCATCTGTAGCTACAAAAACTCTCACCATCTCCATACACACTAAAGAAAAAGATGCATTTGACTGATAGCTTTATTAGCCTTTTCAGATTTTTGGTAGTTGTTGTGATGTGATGATTATTTCCATGGATTATTTTGAATAAAGTAATAGTGTCATTGCAGTGAAAATCTTATGACAGCCATGTTGAAATAATGATGTTAACATGAGCCCTGAAACTCTTGTTTTTAATCTTTTAAACCTAAAGACAGCGACTCTTCATACTCACCCTCACCTCTGATGACCAATGCCCCATAATGAAGAAAGAAAAAAGAACCAAACCACAGCTTTACTTGCATGTTGAAACGCTGTGTGTCATTTAAAAGAAATTTTGAAAATAGTTAAAAGATGACTCACTTTTTTATGTCCAGCACAGTCCAACAGTTAGTGAGATATGAGTGTAAGCCCACCTTCCCACTGTAGACAGGACACTGTAGGAGTGACTTCACCGGTTTGCTAAGCTGTGCTGAAGAGGTCGGGACAATAGCCCGTAGCATGTGGCGTACCATCACCGGTGAATAGTGGCGCTGTTGTTTTTGGCATCCTTTGTTCACAACCCAAAAAATTCCATGACTTCCTGCGTGGTGGGATAAAGATGGGGTTCAGTGTGGGATTAAAAGGATTAGGTGGTGTTGCTGCTGCCCGTCACTGAAAATACATTTCACACTTACCACCATAAATGTTGCACATTATTAATTTTAACTTATCTACTAAGGTGAAATGTTACTTTCTTTGAAGCATGCATAGCAGTGCTTTGTACTGCATTTTTGCATAATCTCAACAAAAGCTAAAACAGTTCTATTTCTTATATTTAGTACTGCTGCAATAGATGCTCTTCCTTTCACCATCCTATATTTACATTTATTTATTTGGTTCATTTAACTGTTGATCTTATTTTCACAGGGGGAGGCAGTGATCCACTACAATAAGCTGCAAGCTGACCCAAAACAGGGGAAGTCTCTGGACATAGGTATTTATATTTATGTTACTTCCTTTTGAAGCATGCACTGCAGTGCTGTGTACTGCATTCTTGCAGATTCTCAACAAATAGTTTTTTACTGCTGCGTTAGTTTGTGTTAAACATTGATATTTTATATGTTTCAGTGCTGAAAAAAGTCAAACATCGACTCGTAGAGAATTTGAGCTCAGGAACAGCGGATGCTCTTGGACTCAGTAGAGCTATTCTATGCAATGGTAAGACTGCTAGGATGGTAACTGCAGGTTTGTTCATATCTGCTTAGATTTAACTCATTCTTTTTTACAGATGGACTTGTCAAAAGACTGGAAGAGCTGGAGAAAACGGCAGAGCTGTACAAAGGTAAAGAATGATAAGATTCTTTACCTAAACAAGTTAATCATGTAGTGTGAAAACTCCATAATCACAGATATGAGAGAGCTTTTAATCCACAGAGACACTGTTGTTCTCTGTTTGCGTTGCAGGGCTGATGGAGCACACGAAAAGACTACTGAGAGCGTTTTTTGAGCTTTCTCAAACCCACAGAGGTCAGTCACTATATCCAAAATCACAAACGATAAAAACAGTATTACACCAGTGGAATAATCCACTCTCACCCCCAAGCAAAAGTTTGCTGTTGTTTTTTTTGTTTTGTTTTTTTCCCAAATGAAGGCTAAAACCTGGTGGAGCTTTTAGTTGAAACGTGACCATAAAATGAAGAAAAATGTCATGTTTTCATACAGTGTCTGCTTGCTGGTGGAGTTGTATTTAATACTTTTTGTTTTCTAACTTTAGCAGATCTTTGCTCGTAGCTATATCTGAGCGGTTTCTGGTTTTGTCCCTTTGCAGCATTTGGAGATGTGTTTTCTGTCATCGGGGTACGAGAGCCCCAGGCTGCTGCCAGCGAGGCTTTTGTGAAGTTTGCTGATGCTCACCGCAACATTGAGAAATACGGCATTCAGCTACTAAAGACCATCAAACCTGTAAGCACAGATTTAAGTCATGCTTTGAGTCATTCATTGTACTAAAGGTGCAGACATCAGTTAAAAACATTCATTTTAAAGAAAGCTTTGGGAAAAATTCAGGCTTTTATACTGTCTGTGTATACTTTATATTGTGTTCCTTAAATCTGTCAGAGTGAAATATATTATGTAACATGTCAGTTTTCCAGTGGATGTTAGATTTTAAAGTCTCTCTCGTTGTGCAGATGCTCCATGATCTGAACACGTACCTTAATAAGGCCATACCAGACACCAAGCTCACCATCCGCAAGTACCTGGATGTGAAGTTTGAATATCTGGTGAGACCTGCGGTGCTGTCACTCTGTTTACTGAAGTTCACTGTCAGCCTGTAGGTTGAATAACAAGACGGGTTTTTTGTGTCTTTCAGTCGTACTGCTTGAAGGTGAAGGAAATGGATGATGAAGAATACAGCAGCATTGTGAGTCACAATTTTTACTGATTTAATTATATCAGTATGATATTGACAGTTGATGTAAAACTGACATTTTGATTGCAACATTTTCTTCCTGTTCAGTGTGTCAGATTATTCTTCTAGGAGGAAAAATTTGACCCCAGGAAAAATGTAACCAAAACCTGCTACTTTTTGAACGTTCTAAAGCAGAAAGATGTTGAAAACATTAGAAAAACTGACTGTAAGAAGATTGAACATCACATGGTGTAGATATTTACCATCTCAGCATGACCGCCTCTATATCCTTCATGCTCACAGTCAAACTTTAGTTCACCACACTGATGCAGACTTAGCAAGTGCAAGTTTTTTTCTCTCATTTTCTGATAAGCACTCTGGGAAAGAACTGGCTATAAGCTTTCCTTGGATTTCCGCAGCTGAAAACATGTTTAATATGAACCAGTAAATCCTATTTTTCTTCTGACAGGCCATGGGGGAGCCTCTGTACCGCGTCAGCACTGGTAACTATGAGTACCGTTTGGTGCTTCGGTGTCGGCAGGAAGCCCGCGCCCGCTTTGCCAAAATGAGGAAAGACGTCCTGGAGAAGATAGAGCTGCTGGATCAGAAACACGGTCTGCTCTTGCTGTTTTTCACCTTTAGCTATTCCCTCCTCTGTCCTCCGTGGCCTGTAAACAGATGCTGAGGATTTAGTAGCATCAACATGTTACTTTTGTTTTCTTTCTTCCTCGTCTCCAGTTCAAGACATCGTGTTCCAGCTGCAGCGCTTCGTGTCGGGAATGTCACATTACTACAATGACTGCTACGCCGTCCTGAAGGAGGCAGATGTGTTCCCCATCGAGGTGGACCTCTCCCGCACAATGATCAACTACAGCAGCCAGCCGTTCTCCTACACAGACGAAGACGAGGAGGAAGAGGGAGGCGGAGAGGGAGGAGGAAGCAGTGCTGGCAGACAAGCAGAAAACGGAGCGGAGAAGCTGATCGATGACGAATGAGAATGCCCGCATGCGTTTGTGTTTACCATCAGTTACATTTAATGTCTACACGCTCAGCAGGCAGTGATGCTTGCAGCAGAAAGCAGCTGCAGGAACGGTTAACACTGTTCACACAGAGAGGAATACTGATTAGAAATGCTGCTATGATACTGTATGTGGGTGTTTTTACAGTTGTTTCTGTGGATTGTTAAAAATTCTATAGCTTTACGGTTACTTTATGATATTATTTACATTTGCAAATTTTCACTTAAAGAAAATCATTTATGGTGTCTCATAAGGTCATCACTGAAGGAGTGTGAGGGACACAATCAATTGAATGAAGCTTTATTTTGTTGTGAGTGATGTGTTTGGGTTTTAATGTTTCAGACTGGGATCTGTAAGCATATGAGGTGTGCCTTATTTGCTCTCTGTGCAGTGAGGTGTACTGGGTCTGAGCTGTTTCAGTGTGGATAATATTTATTTTCTTTGCTGCAGAACCTGCTGCATCTTTGACGTTTATTTGTTTACCTGCTTGAAATGATATCACACTCTAAATGTTTGTCACTGCAGAGAGAAATTCTCAGTGCAACAAACCACTGGATAATTTTACAACATGTCAGGGTGTTTGTTACATTCAGCCTTTTTCCCCCATCTTTGCACATTTTAAGTTGTCCGACCGAGGTTCTTTTTTTTCTTTGTCTAAGGTGTCTGTTTTATCTTCTCGGGCAGCATGCTTCAGGTGGAGTGTTCACATTCCCCTCACTACATTTGCATTCCAGCTGTGCCCTCACAGTATGATGAAGAAACTAAATGGATGCACAGCTTCACTGTGTTGTAAAAAGGAATTTTAAAAAACACTAGAAGTGTGTAGAAAAAGGAAAGAGGTGTAAAAGCTGTTTTACTTACTTTATTTATTGTGTTTATCAAATTATATCTGAAAATTTAATAAGGTAAAGTTAATCTGATAGTTTATTAAACTGTTCCAAAAACTATCGCTAGGGGGCAGTGTCGCATCAGCTCTTAAATGTTTCTTTTTGTTTCTCTGAATGCAAAGAAAGGGACCCATTGTTTGTGTTCCTTGATTTTCTTGGTTGGTTACTTCGTACTACGTCATAATGACTTTTCGGAACTTGACTAAATATATGATCATTTTAATGAATATGCTGTCAGTTTATTTTCTATTTTAACTTTCTTTTACCTCGATAGGGTCTGTTGCCACATGAATTGCGCAGATGCACTGTCCGTGACATTGTAATATATCAAATAAAGTAAATCCAAATATAAAGGAGGGTTGTGTGTTAATTATAAGAATGTAATCTCGAAGCCTCCAATGGACATGAATATGGGGCTTTTGCTTTCTGTTGTAAAACGGAACGGAAACATGCCAGCTACGCAGAAAGAATTCTCTTCGCTGTAGACGCGTCATGTTACTCTGAACTAAACCTTCGAAAAGCCCACACACGACTCCGGCTACGGTACCTACGATATGAAATCGTCGCAGGGTGATTGTTATGATCTCTAAATAGGTTCCTGTGAGAGGTACAAAGCCATACAGCCCCAGTGGCCTAATGGATAAGGCACTGGCCTCCTAAGCCAGGGATTGTGGGTTCGAGTCCCATCTGGGGTGGAAAGTTATTTTCTTTCTTTCCTTGTGTCGAAACTAAAAAACACGTTCTCTTGTTTAGCAACTATCTTACTTGTTTCAGGAGCTTGTCTCGAAGTGTTTTCACGTGTACGTACTGTTCCCTTTTTCCGCTCCTGGCCGCAGCCAATCAGGAAACTGAGCTCGCGTCACCTTTGGACTTTCTCTGCATAGAAAAGACAGATTTCCACTTTACTTCTGCCACTTCAGCTCGAACCATTTCTATGTCCCGCAGCAGTTTTAGTTTTTAGCTCCATTCTCGCAGACATGTCTCCACTAAATTGGTTACATGTCTGTCTTTTATTCATCGTGGCTGCGACCTTCGCCTCTGCTGACAGTAAGTAGGACGAGTACATGAGAAGTCACGGGTGATTGTTTAAGGATATGAAGAATCAGAATCAGAATGTCTTTATTGTCATTGTCGCAGGTACATCCAAAATAAAAGTGGTATCCGATCAGTGCATCATCCATAGAAATATAAAAATCTAAATTAAAACAATAAAATTTAATTAAATCACTAAATAAAATAAATAAAGTGCTAATAAGAATAGTATGAGCAAACATTCCCACACACATGCTTCAGTCAGTGCATAGATCATTTCAAGATTGGCGTGATGGACATTTTTTAGTAGCAGCACTCAGACATGTTATTGCGGTTGGGTAAAAGCTGTGTTTGAGTCTATTTGTCCTTAAACTAATTGCTCTGAACTGTTGCCCTCGGGCACACAGTACAAACAGGGAGTGTCCAGGGTGTGAGGTGATCCAGTGATCCTTTGGTCGGTATTAAACTTTCATTTGTTTGCACCCATTAATTCATCAGAACAATATAGAGGAAAAAATTTCATAAGTAAAGGAGCTGGGATCTGTGCCACCCTTTTTGTTTATATTTTCATTATGTTGATGTGTTCTCAGAGCTGACAGCAGCCACCGTGTACTGGGACCCCGATCACAAGCTTGTCAAGTTAAAGGAAGGGGTGATGGAGGTCAACGGGGATGCTTATGGGTTCCTGAATGACACCCTATCCAGTACAGGCTGGAGTGTCCTTGAGATCCGAGCAGGGTATGGAGAGACTCCTGAAACAGATGAGATCACTTTCTTCCTGGCTGGCTACCTCGAAGGCTTCCTGACCGCCCAGTAAGTGCTGTCAGTTCTTATTATAACCTTATTTCTTTCACTCAAATTCTGAGTCTGGGCATTTTGTATTCATTCTTATACTTGTACTCATTCTTCCTTTTCTTCCCGAGGCAGATGATGGACCACTACACCAACATGTACCCGCAGCTAATCACCGACCCAAAGATGCTCGACCCAGTTCAGAAATTTATGGAGTGAGTATGTTCCCTTTTCCTTTTAGAGTTACAACCCGAGCAGCAGAAATGTCACATCTACTTCACAATCTGTCATCTTTCACATCCTCTTGTGAAAAAAGTTCAACCAAACATTTAACTCTAAGCGTTGGCATTCAGCCACTCTTGACCACAACAGAGGTGTGGCCAAGAGGCTGGGGAGAAATATAGGAGTGGTGGAGAACGAACTTAACCTGCGTGTCTATTGTCTTGCGTAGTTTGGGAGATGATGATGGATCGGGTGGGCTGCTCCGGGTTCTGTGGGCCCTGGTCCAGATGGGCCTGGGCCCCCCGGCCTTGGTGGATTCCAGAGAGCGGGGATGCCTCCTTGGGCTCGGTCCACTCTGGCGCAGCTGGCTGCTGGCAGAGCCCACAGACCTTCATGCCCTGGGGGACGGGGGTATGGCTCCCCACACCCACTAGCAGCTCGTTTAATGGAGAAACCTTTTGAATATAAGTGTGCTCATCCACACAGGTCGCACACAGGTGTACACACGGGTGTTCACAAACACAAACTACACCTTTCTTGGCAAAGGCACATTGTGCGCTGTCAGTCTTGCGTGCTCCACAATAACATTCAACATATACGGTTACTTACACTTAGCCAGATTATTGCGACGGTGTCGAATTTATTATATTGCTCTCTTTTTTACTTGTTTTCTTTTTTTCTATTTTTTTTCCTTCTCTCAACAGGTGATCCAGATGATTTTTTTAAGTGCCCTTTCTCACTGTCCCTCTTCACCTCTGTTTTTCGCTCCCTCCCTCTCTTTCTTTCTTTCTCCCCTTCCTATCCCCCAGTCATGTCTGTCCCGTCTGTAAAACTGAAAATAAAATAAAATAATGAATAATAATAATGAAGGTCATTAAAGTGGACCAATACGGCAAGCCTGTGATGACCCACTTGGCAAAGTAAATCTGTTGGGCATCTTTCTTGGCCTTCAGACAGTAATTCTGACGGCTAAAGAACCAAACGGGATGGGCGGAAAAAAAGACCATGTTGCAGAGTTAAGAACATTTTTGATCAGGTTTTTCTACTGATGCAGTGTTACGGTGGGGTTTTTGTAAAGTAACATTTATCTGTTTAGTTAAATGTCAGTCTAATATAAGGGTTGTACGTTTAGGGAGCAGGACTCATGGGTCAGACAGCAGGTGAACAAGAGCGCCGATCCTCTGTGGAAACACGCCGGCTTCATCATAGCTCAGCTGGACGGATTGCATGCAGGAGTAGCAGCGTGGGCCGAGAAGCAAGGGAAGAAGGTAGGATAACCGTTTGGGTGGATTTTTGTCCCACAAAAACGCAACAACAAAAAAAAAGAATGTTAAAAAAAAATACTAACAAATAAATCTGCTCCCTGAGATGCAGAAGCCTCAACCAACAGTTTCATATCAGGTTTCACAGGCTTAAGTCATGTTAAATATAAAAAGTAGAAGTAATAGTACTTAAGAAGATTTTTATAAATATGCTATAGAGCCAATAGTGTTACATTAATGGCAGGAGCAGTAATACTACATACCAGCAGTTACTAATTCAAATAATTTATTTGTTTAGAGAATCCACTTTGATTTGCTGTAAGATGTGAATTACTTTTGATATTTTCTTTTCTCATAATTAATTATTTTGTAGCTTTTATTCTGTGGTTTGTTTTGTTTTTGATAAATGGCCATCTCACTTCAGGGGCAGCAGCAGTGTTTGTTTGCATTTGATGACCAGCTGTTTATCTCTTGTCCTTCCCAAAGCCGCTGACGCTGTTTGACGTCCAGTTCCTGAACGCGGTGGGAGACCTGCTGGATCTGATCCCAGCCCTGGTCCCCAGCTCCTACCATTCACTCAGAGACTTCAAACTTCCAGGGATGGGCCACTGCTCTGCACTCATCAAGGTCCAAATCATAACTTAATCACAGACTGTATATAAAAGATGGATATAGAGACCAAAAGTGAAGCTAGCGATTCCTAAAATCAACTCACTCTTTCTTCTGGTTGCAAAAGGAAATCTGACTTGGAATAAGCATCTGATCTATGAACAGTGTTGGGAAGTAACGGAATACATGTACCGGCGTTACGTATTTAAAATACAAAATATGAGTAACGGTCTTTTCCCGTTTCATATGTTAGGCTATGCCCTTTCTATTTTTGGTAATGCCACGCTGGTGGAAATAAATAAAACACACATTAAGAGGCTCTAATGCCTGTGTCTCCATCTCGTAGCCCATGTCACCTCTATTTGTGGCCTGCATAATGACGTGATGAAATATTTTTAAAATTATTGTTCAACAAATTATTTAATATGAAGGCAAAAGGTACAGGTATAGCCCTAAAGAATGCCTTTCAACGCCTTTCTCTGTCTCTCATTAGCAAAGTTGACCCAGACAACAAAGTAAAGCTAGTTTTTGGCTACGAGCCCAACACGGAGCCCAACGCATTAGCCAGACGTCCCTTTACTACGGTTCGGAGCCGCGGACCTGTTTTATATATGTGCGGAATAATTTTATATACGAGATCGCTGCAGAGAGTGCAGCCTTACCTAATGTCCACCCTACTGTTACTCATTTTATATTAAGATTTAAACATCTAGTTGGTAATGGTATGGTGAGTAACCTTCAGTAACAGTAATAAATCACAGCAATAGTACATTCATGTAGTTGTAAAAAGCTTGATAATATATTAAATAAGCCAAAGTATTCAGAATACGTTACTCTCATTGAGTAACGTAACGGAATATGTTACAAAATACATTTTGGGGCATGTATTCTGTAATCTGTAGTGGAGTACATTTTAAAAGTAACCTTCCCAACACTGTCTATGATCTCAGTAAACATCTTACTGTTCAGTTCCTTCTCTCATCACTCAGTGGTTTCAAGTCTTGGTGAATAAACCGAAATGTTCAGTTTCTGCAACATAAAACAAGCAGTTGATAAGTTCACTTAATAAAAATGTTGTCACGGTTGTTAAAGAGTGGACTCAGGCGCGGAGCTCAGAAATAATGACAGTGCATTTATTTACAATGCAGCAAGGTGACAACAGTTCAAAATGTGCAACGATGGTGATAGTGCGTCCCTCCTTCCGTGTAAGCCCGTGCGTGGTAGTGAGTGTCCGTCTCTCCTCCAAGTGCTTCAATCCCTGGGTGAACACACACACGACAGCAAAATGAATACGAAGCTCTGACAGTACTTCTATAACGTTAGCGACTCGAAAACACTACCAGGCTTAGTGCAATACTCCAGCGCTGTCTGTCGCTCAGCCACACCATTAAGTAACCCTGCTGAAGATTGTCGTTGATGGGCAGCAGCTGGTGGATTGGCTGCAGGTGCGGCAGCTCCGGGCGACAGCACTTCCGGGTCGGAGGTAGCCTGTTGCTAGGTTACCTCCTAACACATGACAGCGGAGCCGGAGGGGAAGACAGAGCGATAGGAGAGACACACGCACACAAATATACACACTGGCAGGTCGACCGGTCAGGGCGCCGTCAGATCCTGACAAATGTGGTGTCTCCTCTTGCTTGTCAAGTTTGAGGGGGAAAAAATATGGCAACCAATAAAATGCCAAAACTGAGGACCTAAAACACAAGTCTGCGCGCTGCTTACAGTGGCCATCTTTTATTTACAGTCCTGATCAGGCTCTTATTCTTAATAGATATTATAAAAAATGCACACAACACGAAAAGCAGCTGATGTATATGAGTAGTTCCTCAAATTTCCTTCACAGCAAATTAGTAATGCTTCACTGACATCAGCTGTAACCTGATTTTCATAGGTGTGCAAAATAAGGAGAACAAGAAACTACCAGTGAAGAGCGAATTTCCTGTGTAATCGAATGTGCTGGTACATTAGTGCAATAATGCATTATTCATCTTTATTTATTATTTAAAGAAACTAAGTTTCATTGTCAGTGTCATAATTAAATAACATAATTAATTAATTAATAATTAATTGTGTTAAATAACAGGCCAAATTTAAAAGTCCTATAACGTCACCTGTTCTGACTTTTGTTCTGTCTGTTTTGTTGCTTTTGTTGAAAGGAAACTATCGAATTTATGTTAATTATCTAACTAAACCAATGCTATTATGCTGATTAAGCTACATAACTGTTGGACATGACGCAGGATTGTCCCATTACTGATTTCTGTCATCATCTTTAGATGCTGCCGGGGTACGAGAACCTCCTGTTCGCTCATTCCAGCTGGTACACGTACGCTGCTTCGATGCGGATTTACAAACACTGGGACTTTCACATCACAGAGCCCCATACAGCCACTGGAAAACTATCCTTTAGCAGCTACCCTGGTATGTAAGAAAGCAAGAGCATCAGAGAAAATTTTTAACACTCTTTTAAAACGATGTCCTATCCAAGACAGGCAGCATTACAATTAGTAACTGCACAGACTAGTACAACACAGATGAAAATACACAGCAAAAACACACTAAAACTATAAGAATGTAGAAGCGATGAAGTAAAATACAAACACAACCAACATTTATGAACTGCTGAAACAAACATAAATAAAAGTAAAAGTCACTGAGTTTATTGAATAGTACTGTGCTGTTAATATTCATGCAGTACATTTGTAGTAGCTGCCTCCGGGTCATTTAAAGACGTCTTAAATGAATTTGGTGAGATCGGCTTCTTAAGTTTTAGAGTTTTGCTGATGATTCCACTTCGTAATTCAGTCAGTGTCAGCCATCTCCAGAAGGCCAACCATTCATTCTGCTGTCTCTGTATAACAATTTTGGTTATCTCGCCCTCTTCACACATGGCACACATGCAAAAACAACATCCTTATGGAAGAAGATCATCCATAAAGCTCATGCTTGTAATGTGGCTTGTTTGTGGCCTCAGGGTTCCTTATGTCGCTGGATGACTTCTATCTCTTGGGAAGTGGTCTGATGATGACGCAGACGACCAACGTTGTCGTCAACTCCTCCCTTTTTGAAACAATCACCCCAAATAGCCTACTGGCCTGGCAGAGGGTCAGGCTGGCTCACAGTTTGGCAAAAACTGGAGAAGAATGGGCCAAAACCTTTTCCATGTATAACTCTGGTGAGCATGTCTGCCTTATGTACATGGATCTTTATACACGAAGCACAGAAACTGTGCTGTGTTTTGATAGAAAAAGCAAAATCATGCTCAGGCCTCTTTATTAAACTTTTTCCTCTTCCATAAATCCACCTGTAACTCTTGCAGGAACCTACAACAACCAGTACATGGTGTTAGACAGAAGCAAAGTGAAGCTGGGCCACAGTCTCGACGACGGTGCGCTGACTGTGGTGGAGCAGATCCCCAGCTTGGTGGAGTACTCGGACCAGACACAGACTCTGCGCAGAGGCAGCTAATCATTTTCTACATTCAATTGTATTTTGTATTTTATTTAATTTCTAGACTTTTCTGTGATTTCGTCACCACATCCATTTCTTACAGGTTATTGGCCGTCCTACAACATTCCTTTTCATCGGAAGATCTACACAATGAGTGGTTACGTGGAAATGTGGGAGCTGCACGGAGAGGACTTCTCCTATGACCTCTGTCCCAGAGCCAAGATCTTTCGCCGTGACCAGTGTGACGTTAAGGACCTGGAATCCTTGAAGCACATCATGAGATTCAATGGTGTGTGGCTCCATCTCAGCTTCTTAGTTTTAGCTCATTCTGCTGACTCTTTGTATGTTGCTGTTTCATAAGCTAGATTTTTGGCTGCAGTACACTTCATTAGTTACATCTTGTTAGAGGCACACATTCAACAAGCTGCTGGATTCAAATCATATCTAGTGGATAAAGTGACACTGGAGGCCACTTCAGTACTTTTTTGTTTGTGTAAATTGTCACTTTCAAAAAGGCAGTTTGAGATAATCTGAGCTTTGCGACATGGTGCGTTATCCTGCTGGAAGAAGCCATTACAAGATTGGTAGACCATGGTCAGGTTGAACTTTATTAGGTTCTCTAGTTACTGGTATTTTACTGTCTGATTAGATATTTGCATTAACAAGTAGTTGAACAAGTGTACCTAATTACGTGGCCTTTTTTTATTTAGCTATCCTGAAGCTCAATTCTCAAGCTTTAGCTTGAGCAAGCATGATATTTTTGGATTGCTTGTTTTCAGACTACAAGAAGGATCCGTACTCAAAGGGTGACCCCTGCAAGTCCATCTGTTGCCGTAAAGACCTGCGAGGAGAGGATCCTTTACCAGGAGGCTGCTATGACACTAAGGTATTCCCAGAGCGCCACAATAGCCTTTTCATCAGTTGCAGTCATGCAGGTTTCATGAATTCAGATGCTTTTAAGCTCTACCCAGCTTTCTACTTGTTGGCGTCTTTTTCCCTTTGCAGGTGACAGATTTCCACTTGGCTGGGGATTTCCGTGCGGAGGCGGTGAACGGGCCGACAACACAGGACGGACTCCCGCCGTTCTCTTGGGACAAATTCAGCAGCATCAGCCACCAGGGCCTGCCACAGTATTACAACTTCACTTTTATCAAGATGCAGCCCATTCTTTTCAAACCATGAGCATCAGTGTGTGACTGTGTGCGTGCGACAGAGATTCTTTCAAGGTAATGAAGGTCCACAATCATCGGTTTTATCTGTCCTTTCCATTACCATCCTGCAGATGATTTTTTTCTGCATGTTTACTATTGTATCGATGAGCAGATCTGCTTTCTTCTCAGCTGTCACTTTTTATAGGATTTCATTCAGCACTGGTAAACACAGATTTGCGATCTATTTCTAAACACGTTTTTTTTCTCAGGGTGTCCTGTGTGCAGCCATTGGTGCCTTTGACGCTCACAGTAGCTTTATGATATGATAAAATGCCAAATCACAGCCGTACTCAGGTGCTGATCATCTCTAAGGATATGATTTTTGTTTGCTGCCTTTTTATTGTGCTGTGTGAAATTAAAAACCTCTTCTTGTATTTTTGTGGTTCTTTGCATGTCTACGTTATGCCTTTATTACATTTTTGTTTTATACTTAAACTCTCACAGTCTGGACTTTCAGCTACTCTGGTTTAGTGGATTGTTCATGTGAGTTTGAAGCTTTCAGAAATATTTAATGGAAAAGTAAGAAAGCAAGACAATTTGAAAACATGTCTTCATCTGTAGTTGTCGTCCGAAAAAAGTGATTTTTGGTATTTGCCTGTAAACCCCTAGCTCTAATCGCCAAACAAGTGAAAATAACGCCATACCGCTTCATAACACTTCTCCCACGCTTTACTTCAAATGGACCAAAATAGTCCACTCCAACAAAGCTTAACGGGGATTTCTCAAGGGTCACTCTGCTTTCATGCAAGTCAGCCATCTGCAGCTGGCCTGCAGCTCCATGAAACCTTCTACAGGCCACACACCTCGACATAATGTTTCTAATAAAAAAAAACAGCTCCAGGAACCCAGTATTTTTGATGCAGCTTTGAGAGTATGTGGTTCTTTTCACCATGAACCACCTCTTTATGAATATGCTTCAGAATTAGATTAGAAATGTGAAGATCTTTGACCTTAAAATCTTATAAATAAGCATTTTTT